TAAGATATTAAAATGATTATCTTATCTGTTAACAATAGGTTTCTGCTCTTCAGTTAACAATAGCTAAACTAATAACATAGTTTAAGAAAATCCCACTGTTTTCATAAAACGAATTATTATTTTGAAGCTATTAATATTTATTATGTTTATAATCGCATTAGAGCGGGAATGGTCTAATGATTAGACGCTCAAAATCTACAAAGTTTGACTGGAATATTGTGAATCATCTGCCTTCTTAGTCAGGATTATTTTAGCTCTTATATTGCAAAGAAACACTATGAATTTTTTTTCAGCCTATACCAGATGAATTAGAAAATGCCAACCCCGAAGCGGGCGACCTCTACCGGCAGTTGTCGGAAGAAGAATTCGTTTCTACTTTGAAAATTCACGAAGCTGCTAAGAGTGGGGACCTTCACGTCATCAAACTTTTATTAAAGAGTGACCGCAAACGGACAGAGTAAGTCTGAAAGTTTTTTTTAAAGTGGTGACGATAAAGTCCAGTAGTATTTTCTTTTGTTTGTTTTTAGGATTTTATTAACAAAAAAAAAAAAAACGTCAGAAAAGCATCTTAATTTGAAGATATTAAACTAATAAATTGTTTGTTTGTGTGTTTGTTTTTGAATTTCGCGCAAAGCTACACGAGGGCTATCTGCGCTAGCCGTCCCTAATTTAGCAGTGTAAGACTAGAGGGAAGGCAGCTAGTCATCACCACCCACCGCCAATTCTTGGTCTACTCTTTTACCAACGAATAGTGGGATTGACCGTCATATTATAACGCTCCCACGGCTGAAAGGGCGATCATGTTTGGTGTGACGGGGATTCGAACCTGCGACCCGCAGATTGCGAGTCGAACTCCCTAACCACCTGGCCATGCTGGGCCCTAACTAATAAATACTATTTCAAACCATACTGTCTCAAAGGGTAGATTAACCATCGAAATATTGTAGTTTGGAAAACACAACTACAAAGAGCAGACAAATCACGCATAAAGAAAGGTAACCATAAATAATAAAAAGTCCCTGGTTGGTTCAATAGTGAGTCTGAGGAATTATAACTCTAAAAATCGAGTTTCGATACTCGCAGTGGGCACAGCACAAATATCCTATTGTGTAGGTTTGTGCTTATCAACAAACAAAAAGAACCAGCGTCGGCTTAGTGGCTAGCGTTCAGGGCTGCAGATCGGAAGTTCAGGATTTAATGCGCAACGCCACTGAACGCACCCCCACTTCTTCAGCCGTGAATGCGTTAAAAAACTGACAGCAAAGCCCATTATTCGATTCCAGTAGTCCGACAAAGCCCTCATAGCAGTTGTTACAGCTGACTAACAGCCCTCTCTGAGGTCGGTAGTTCAAACTTAAGGTCAATTCCATCTGAACTTTAGGAGGTCTCTGGCATAGTCATTTAGCTCATGTGCGCACGTATGCTGCCATTCAGAATTATACATATTCGATCTTCGGAAAATCTATGACAATGATGTAAGGAGTACAATGAATAGTGTTAGGAAATTATAAAATATTCAATTTAAGAGAGAGCTATTTTAATAATGCAAAGTAAAAAGAGTTTGATTTTTCATTTATAATATTGTTACGTCACTGGTCGTTTGATAATTTCCCGTAAAAATTTCTTTCCGGAGAACTTCAGCTATACAAGTCCTTTCTTAAATAAAACTAGTTTATTTTTTTTCAATACAACTTTGCAATACACAGAATTTCCACAGTCACGCTATAACTTAAACAAACGCTATAATTCACAACGATTCACGCACTTTACTTACGGTCACTACCGCTCACTTGACCCAATTATCTGTCTCTATATCTCTCTTCAGTCTCTTTCCGCGTTATTTGCCGGGCTTATATACTAAAATAGAGGGCGTCTGGCAAACACTCGAGCCTTCATGATCCTTCTAGACACTCATCACGTGTTACCAGCGTCACTTGACTTCCGCTGTCGTAACAATATGTAGAAGTTTTATCAATAGTTCGTGATCATTACGTTCATAAGTTAGAACTGAAAAGTTTTCTAAAGAAACGGGGTATGACGACGTTTCGTTGTGAGAATATATAGGTGAGTTAGGCGTAATTCGAAGTTTAAGTCCAGTCCTGTTAGAAATTCTCATGTCTCCCAAGGCATGTAGTTGTAAAAGACGAGAAAGTCTTGCCTTTGTAGGTGGCTATACAGCTAGCACATGTATATTTATATACGACCTTTGAACTTAAGAGTGACGGTAGAAATGTCTTTAGTTCTAAAAGCGTTACCGATACGAAGTGACGATTTGAAGACAATACGGAGTTTGATCTAGAGATAGAAATATCTGAGTAGCTTATTCTGTTGTGTCTTATTAATAAGACTTTGTTTTCCAAGATAGGGAGTAACAAGTGTTAGAGAGAACAAGGGACACGATTGGACATTAGTCGGTGAGGTTATTTTCTTGGTAAGAAAGTTACGTGTTAAGCTTTCAAGTAAAGATTAAGGATGGCCATTTTTTTATGAAGATGTTTTGAAGGAAAGTTATTTCATCATGAATGAAGATGTTATCTGAACAGAAGAAGAGTTCAGACTAAATTTAGTTTGATTTTGTTTTAAAAAAATCTCAAGGCGTGTGTAAAAAACAATAAAAGATTTCTTTCTGAAAACGTGGGTGTTAAATTCGTTGTTTCGTTTTTGAACCTGATTTTCAGCTTCACGGGTGAATTATATATTATGGTATTAATAATTTAAGTCGTTAAGGAATTTGTTAATATGTTCATGATTAAGGAAGAATAAGAATGTGTCATCATACCTTTTGTAGAACGTGGGTGTGACGTCAGAAGGACACTTGTTCAGTCAAGTGTGTTCGTAGTGATAAAGAAATATACTAACTAGCGAGACTTCTAGTGGTGAACCCATCGCAGCTCCATCTATATGTCACATAATTCACCATTAAAGACAACGTTGTTTCTTTGAAGTTAGGCTTAGTAGTTATGTGAGTTGCTATTTGTTTAATCTAGCCCTCAGGCTATCGTTACTGGGAAATGTTTTGTTAAGAAATATTTGTATCGTTTCTTCTAAAGGAATGTTAGTAAAAAGATATTCAATACCAAAGCTTGCCATGATATATTGGTCAGTGTCTGGAAATTATGAAATTTCACGTGCGAAAGACAACACATGCGTTAGTTGTTAGAGGGTTTAAAATATTCTATAAGATTTCAAAATAACATTAAAACTTTCTAAATTATTATCCGGTTTGTTTGAATAATATGGAGCTTTAATTATATATATATATGTGGATATTCATAAGTATTCCAGGTTTCGATACCTGTAGTGGACACAACAACATAACCCATTGTGTAGCTTTGTGTTTAACAACAAATATAAGAATCCCGAAACAGAACAGTGTTACAGAAATATTAGAATAATGTAGGCCTAAAACTTGCAAACGACACGTTGTTGCTTTTAATCTATAATAAAATAAATAAGGTTGCACTTTCACAAAAATAGAACAAACGAGCTCCTTAGCCTATTCAAAAGTTAAACAGTCTTACACCAGTTTATTTACAGGATCCTTTCCGGGATGTTTAATAAATTCAGGAATAAATATTCATAGGCCAAAATATAAGGTGGAAAGCCTGTTTTGTGGCTAAGATACATCGATGTAATATTCTGAATTAGGCTTTCTTGTCTACACAGACTTCAAACCTTTCATAGCAACTTGAACAATGTACAAACAAGTATAAGTTTTATCCTAAAACACTCGGACGGAAATGGCGTCTCAGTTTCTTAAACGACCATCTTATTTGTTCACAAAGCTATTTTTATTTGAGTTATTTGTTTTCCATAGGTCAGAACTACACAATAGGCTATCTGCATTCTGTCCATCGCAATGAATTGAACCCCAGATTTTAGCGTTGTAAGTGTGTAAATTTACCGTTGATTCACCGGTTTTCCTACACCCTGATTCACACCGCCCTACTGACATAAACAAAGAATCATCTTCTGGACCGGTTTTCCTACACCCTGATTCACACCGCCCTACTGACATAAACAAAAATATCATATTCTGGACCGGTTTTCCTACACCCTGATTCACACCGCCCTTCTGACATAAACAAAAATATCATATTC